CCGTAATGCTCATTGCTGTTTTTTCCTTATCTGTAAGCAGGTGTGCAGATGAATAGAACAATGCAGGCACAAGACCGCACTATTCTCCTGCCAGCCTCCAAAGAAATCCAGCAAGGAGGTGGCTTACACATTTGTTACTCATAGTTCCTATTGTCTACCCCCTGCCTGTATTAACTCTTTGCTACCTCTTTTCTCAGGAAGTCCCTCTACAGCAAGTTCCCTTATTTAAAGCTTTCATTGACTCATACCAAAGCTTACTTCAGCTCAGTAATTTTGGAGAAGCATTTAAAACTAAGCTGTTACTTAGTATGTGAAATAAAACCCACCACATGTTACCATCAGTTCACTCTCCGTTTGCCATCTCAATCTACAGGATTCAAAGGAAGTTTCTAAAGAGAAGCTTCAAGGTTTGATTAATTATGAATTTCCATGTAATTATGTGCCAAGATAAAAGAGGTGAGCTACCTCCCCTAGATCTATTAACAAATGCAGCCATCAAACCTCGGGAGCGGTGTGGGGGAGCCTCCTGGTAGCCACCCATCAGGCAGCCCAGCCCAGCTGAAGCACCAGCCATCTCCTTCTTGCGCAGTACAATTAATAAAGAGAGGAAGCTGATGAGGAAAGGGGGTGACTGGAAGACTGAGCAAGAGAAATCATGAATGGAATTTGATGTTGGGTTTAAACATGTTATTGCTGGGAAAGCAAAAAAACGAGTAGTCAAGGTTTTCCAGTTATTGTGTGTGACTACCACTTCCATGTTGATAACTGCTTTATGAAAACCTGCTTGTGGTCTGCTTTAACTTCTTTTTTTCTTATACTGAGTACCCTTAAAGCCTTTCGATTAAACAAGCCAGCAGCCAGTGAATCCTTTTCAAGCAGGATCAGACACTAGCTGTTAGCTTAATCACGGGAGAGATCCATTTTTAATTTGGCCATCTTCTTTTACGCTGCTAATTAAGTAACATTTTGCTTATTAGTTGAACCCGATCATTCCATTTGAATTAAGTCACAGTGTCGTGTCAGAACACAGTGCTGGGTTCTCCAAGTAACCATGGCTGGGTGTGGTAGCATACTTTGTTCTGCTTCTGCAAAGAGAAACCCCACATGAAGACGTGGAAAAGCAATGCAGCTCAAGGCACCAGAGTTCTCAGAAATGCTGGAAAGATGGGTTTAACACACATCTAAACTGTCACTATCGCAGAAGTTCATCGGTTTAACTCCTTGCAGACAAGAAGTCGACTCTCTGAGCAGGAAGTTGTTCGGTGGAACCCCTGACGCAATGCAAACCGAAGCAGTTGCAGCTTAGTTTAATACAAACCCTCTTGAGTCCACGTTGACAAATTCTTTAACAAGCCCTGTGGTTACAGGGAAGCTGGTTTCAGTCTGAGTCACTCCTGTTCAAACAGTTTACTGGAAATGGAGGGGAGGGGGAATTTTCAGAGAAGTCATGTGATGGCCAGACAAACCACAACCAGTAAAGGTTCAGTGGAGTCAAAAACAGGTCCCAGCAACAACTGACGCTCAGTGTGCAGATGGCACTCAATCATTTACGAATGAGTCCTGCTGAGTCTCGGCATTTCTATGGATTTAACCCTTTTTCAAGTTTGTATTCTTTCAGAGGCAGGACACAGTCTGGAAAGTAAACAAACAGCAGTGGCTGATAGTAACATAGGCAACTAGAAAATATTTTTACATGGAAATTTGGCGGCAGCAATGCTGCACAGAAGCAAAGCCTGATGTGTAAATCATTAGTTCTTAAAAATATGCCACTTAATGAATCCAAACACTTACAGTCATTAAGGATTAGATATACAGCAAAGATATTAGTACTTTCTCCTCTTAGCAAGGAGCACCGTGATACAGCAAGGGCCCACGCATTAGGCATTATCACTAAGTACCTTGAGGGAAGCTGGCATGAAATGCTTCGTTTTCACCAGAAACCTCAGTCAGCTTTAAGCGTTTTAGCATGACAGAGAAAAGACGAGAATACTAAACAACCAGCAACTGTTCAAGTGGTGAAAGGGAGTCCCTGCAAATGTGTGTGTAGACACGACGCCGTACAGAACTATGCTTGCACTGTGTTATTACCAATATGCTGCCCCAGCACTAAGCAGCAGATTCACTTCCCCTAATTGAGAGGTTGGTTTGAACGGCTGCACTGGAGATACTCCCCATGGCTAAAAGGGGAGCTCTGATGAACAACTCCTTTGCTCTGGAACTGGCCTGGAAGAGAGTTAACAGCGACTGAGATACCGTTTCAAACAGTAGTAGTTATTAAATGCTGCCTTAAGTATTAACAAATCAAAGTTGCTTTGTTCCTATAGCACGCTGGGCTCTGCACTGTGTGGGGCTCTGAGACAACAAGAGCCCGGCTTGTAAACCACACTCCTTCTGCAGGCCAAAGTCGCTCGATTTTAACGAGAGGAGCCACGAGGCAAGAAAAGCTCTGACGCTCCCTTTATGTAACTGGGACTAACTCACTGGCGTGCACCCAGGCACCCACAGAAAGGAGAAGTGTGCCTTTAAAACGAGGGGCTTTTTCTGAAGGATCTAATGGCAGGTACAAGGCAGACTGACTTACACGTCCTCTGCAGGCTAATGAGTTCTCTCAAAACCTAGCTCAAGGAGACAGCTCACAGATCTGCGACTTGTGACAGAAAATCCACCAACAGACTCTTCAAAGTAAGCAGTATTTTACTCTGTGTACCTCTGAATTGGGCACTACAGCTTTACGCTGTTTAATCCTTTCAGGTTCCCTTTTTTGTTTTTTAAAGTGACAAGCTAGCAAGCACACTCCCCCTGCAGACCCTTCAGGCTGGATGTTATATTCACGGTCTGTTCTCACCATAGAAGATCCTCATCTGTTTCTCAAAATTACCATTGTTTTTGAGAAACAGCAGCGACAAGCTTTCTAAACAAAACACACGCAGGCAAAAACGTCAAGCCATTTGGCTTTGCCTTGTAGGCATACAGCAGCTCAGCAGCAGTAGAGAGGGAAGCTATTCTTCAAAATCTAACGTGCCCATTTTCATGCCTTTCAAAAAGGCAGGATGAAGCGAGACCTTTATACTGAAAGAAGGCTCCTGTCATTTGACGTCAAACATTTGTAGTAGTCTCCATGGCATAAGACACTTGTCACATCCCCCGTGTTTTCTTAAGCACAAGGCTTCAGTTTGGGAGAGTGGGAGAAGCTGATGTAGGTAATAAAAACTGCTATTGAGAAATTTAAAAATAGACATCATAACCGCTCATGGATAGCAATTAAAGAACAAGTAGTGATAAGCTGTGCTGAAGATGGGCATTTACTCAAGGTCATAGGAACAGGCAGGCCTGTCTCCCATAGACATCTAGCAAAAACACGATTGAAGCCAAAAGCAAAAAGGAAGTCATATTAGCAAATGGAAAAAACTGAACTGTCAGTTTTATGAGTGCAACACAATTTAATCGGATTGTCAAAGCCTCATGTTTTATAGAAACCAAACCACAAGTGGAGTTTAAGATTTTTTTTTTCCTGGCCATCCATCCACAAAACAACACGCTTCAATCCAAATTCAGTTGCCAAGAAAATAAAAATCAAAACTACTGGTAAATAACACCATCATTTTCCTTAATTGATTATACACCACCACTCACTTGCTAAGGACAGTCAATACAGCTTGGCCTGTCCTGACAAAATGCTCTCTAGCAAAAATTTTCTTCCCAAGAATCTTACTGTGCATTCTGGAAACCAACTCTGGCTGCTCCCACAACCGTACATGCATATAATTTGCTGGGAGAGTTTCAGTAAACACAGATAGCATTTCAGCTCTCGAGTCATGTATCTCACTGGTTTCACTTTTTTTTTTTTAACCACAACTTGATTCTTATACAGTTAGGGATTACTTTGCAAAGCAAAGACTGATGATATAGTAAAGAACAAAGCAGATTTTGTTCCCCCCTCACTGTATCTTTAAAGAAATACAAGAATTTACTATCTATGATAGCAGAAAAGCTATTTCGAACTTTCTAGATGGGGGAGGCTCTCAGGAAACACAGGGTTTACTGTTAGAATTACTAGATTGCACTCAGTATTTCCAGAGAAACCACCTTCTTTTATGGAAAAGCTTCATCCATCTCCAAGAAGAAAAAAAAGTATATATTTGTATCAAGAAAATACCCTGGCACAACAGCTTAAAGGCAGCAGTGCATGGTAAATAGCATCTGCTGGTTTTTAGTAGCAGTCTCATGACCTCTTTCAACTCAGTGGCAGACAAGACAGGATAAGAAGGAAAAATACTGAAGAGAAATTCAGTGGCAAGTAGTTTAAGGAAAAAACGTTTAATTTCTTCTAAAATTCACAGTAACTTGTGACAGGACGCAAACTCCTGACCTAAATGAAAAATGATCTACAATAATACCTGACTGACGTACAGCATAAGCTGCAAACTATGCTGTAACACAAGCAGTATTTAATCTATCAAGAAAATAAATGGCAAGAGCAACAAAAAGGGATTCAGAGCAGTTTGGTTGCATTTTCACATCAGGAAAAATATGTTTCCTCAGGCTGATGAGTGGGTCATGCATTGGCCCCCGAGGGTGTTAGCGGCAAGGCAGGTAAATATCTGAAGGGGATGAGCTGACTGAAAATTATCTCCTGGCCCAAGAAGGCTTTACATGCAGCTATAACCACCATGACTGTGGAACAGCAGCTCCTCTATCACTGCTTTCTTATCCCACTTTCTCCCTACCTTTATTGTGCTCTTCTAGAAAGACTAAATAAATGCAGTATTTGTAGCAAATACTTCAGCTGCACTGTTGTATGTGCATCGACAAGCTGCATTCTTGTCCTCCCATCACCAGAAGTATCTCTACCCAGTGCAGGATCTTTCTCCATCCCCGGGAATTCCCTTGCGAACTCACACCAACTGGTTATTGGCCCAGTCCCATTTCACTGGAATGGTTATTTACTCCATCTAGTTGTTCTGTGTTTTATTAATTCTGTTGTTTTGCACTGTTCTTACTTGTGCAGTCTCTGCATGTTCCAGCATCTCCTCAAATTCCTGGTACTCTTCATCATCAGGTTCAGCACCAGAGAGTCGGGCCGCCCTCGCCATAAAATATGGAGGCAGCTCTCCAATGGCTGTGCCAGCACCCTGGGAAAAGAATAATTCTGATTTATTTTCATGTTTATTCTTAAATAGGAAACATGTGATATGCACATTCCCGTGGACATTTCCAATTATTAGGACTGATGAGACCAGCTGCTTTGAGAAGTTTGCTTTTTATCCACCAGGCCAAATTTCTCGCAATT